CACCAAACATGTCAAAGTGATATTTTATGGAAAATTTCAGTGACAGAGTTTGTTCTTGTTTTAAAATGTGGCTGTTTGCTGATGATGCGTTTGGAGGATGGAGATAGTGAATGAACATGGAATTTGTACTCGTGACCTCTGTGCAAGGCATTTATCATGCTACTGTGAGTAAAATTATTTTTTGTTCAGGAGTCCTCCACAAAGTCACTGTATTAGTTGAATCCCAGGTTTTCCATCAAAGCATAACTTGGAAGGGATTTAAGGGATTCACAGGCCTTCTGCTGGCCCTCAGTCCAGCATTTTGAGGACAAAGAAGTAAATTGGAACTTACAATAGTAGCTTTGCTATATTGGTTTTTTTTTTATAGTTAAAGGGGCCTGTTTCTCATTCTCACCCAATTTTTGTTTTTGGCATTAATTCATTGAATTGAAAAAAGGTGGGAAATACCTGGTAGTTTGTATTGTTTGTCTAGTGTGTTATCCCAAACCAGGTTTTCTACAGTATGTTATTGATTGCTGCGTCTGTTCTGGCTTTGAAATGTTTCAAACCACAAGACTTTTATCATTCTTCTGGGGCTACTATTTCATTTAACAGATTTCACTAACAGGAAGTTTTTCCTGATAATCCTGGTAGCTCTCTTCTCTGGCTTTGTGATAAGTGACTCCATTATTCTTTGAAATATGTGGGTGATCAGTGGACATTTTCAAAAGATTCACTTCCAAATTGGAAGTGAAAGAGAATTTTAAACAATACAGAGGATAGATAGCAGGAGAGAAAAAAAATTATCAAGCTGGATATACTTTCTAATAGAAATATGTTTCTGAAGTCTGCAACATACTTTTCAGTGACACACAATTATGATGGATACTACTCTTGAGAGACAGGTTTACTTTTCTAGAGACCTAAGCTGGCTTGTTATTTCATTGTTAAGGTACTGACAGTGGAATTTCTAAAAAGTAAGACCAAAAAACTGTCTGCAGACTGAATATGTGAATCTTTCCATCATTTCAGTCGCCGCCTTCTGCTACTTTTTATTGTGTTTGTATCCCTTATTTTGGACTTCTGTCACATGTTGTAAAGGCCAGTGTTGTACATCTGGGTCTTGGCAGGTTGAGAACTGCGGCTGTGAATAATGAGTCAATTATCGCTTAGTCAGGGGGAAGGCAGAGTGATCCTCTTGCTGGCTTGAATGTGATCCTTCCTCCTTTCCCTTCTCTTTCAAAAGTACGGACAGGAATGGTTGAAATTCAGAACACTGTCAAAGGAATACAGCTCTGATATTTCTCTGCAGATTGTAATTTCTTTAAATTTAGAACAATTTAATAATATTTTTTAAGGTCATGACTGTTACTGCTTCAAGAGAGCCAGTTATGTGATGCATGCATTGAGAAACTATAGGTATCAGTACTTTGGACAACTGAAGGTGGGTCTTACTGGCGCTGAGGGACTGTGCTTGAGGCTAGTAATGTTTGATTCACCTCCCCCACTCCAATTTATGTGGCATAGCCTCATTATGCACATGGTTGCATAGCTGATATTCTGTCCACAGCATGCATTTCACAACTGCTTTGGGTTGCTTAGACTTTTTTCTTATGAATTTTTCTTCACTTGCAGTCATGAATCTAGTATCACATTGCAGTTGTGAATGTTTCATCAAATGTAATGTTTAATATTCTATAACTCAATAACTCTGCAATGGTCTTAACCAGAAAAAAGTTTCTGACAGCACTTTATGACAGATCTCTTAGGAAAAGGGATAGTGCTTCTAGCTGTAGTCTGGGGTTGGTAAATGGCACATAAATACTATGAATGCACTTGATTTCTTATTAGCTCATTTAATCTATCTAGCTTTTTAATGGTGACAATAGCTCAGCTGTCCAGAAAATATATAACCTAATAAAATAAGTTTGTCAGCTCATGTGTACTGTCTAATTATCACTGCCCAACTATGTGTCATAGGTCTTTTGATGCTAAAAGTGATATTATTTTATTTTGAGAATTCAGAACCTACATTTTGGGGAAGGATGATCTGATTTATATCCCAGAAGAATGACCACAGTGGTATCCAAGATAGGCATGGGCTTGTGGAGGAATATCATGTTTATTCAGAGCCTTTCGGCTGTATGAATTATGTTGCTGATCATTCCAGTTGATGATGCCTTTTGTCTCTCTGTTGATCTGGCTGAGAGAAGTGTATGGCTTCCAGAAGCTTCTTCTTGCTTCTCATACATAAAGGCTCCTGATGTGCACAGGAAGGATACTGGGCCCTCAGTCCCTATTGGTACTCTATAGATCTGCAGATGGTTGACTGCATAATTTGCTAATACACACATACTCTAAAATACATTAATATCATTTTGTGGCTTGTCAGTCTTTAATATCAAACTTGTCAGTTCTCAGTATAAAACAGGAAGTCCATCCTGTTCTACCACTACAATAACAAAAGATTGAAGCTTTTTGAGCTAGTCATCTAGTTCTTCTATAAAGTAGAGTGACACTAAAAATATCTTCAATAGTGGGTGACCATTTTACCTGTCAAGAATTTAAAAGAGGGTTTCCTGTGTAATACTGCTTCATTTCCATAGCTTGAAAAAGAGAGTATGTAGGAAGAAGAAATTGCCTGTATGTACTGCTGTTTCCAAATATTGTTTTAGGAAAGTACTTGCTAAAAAAGCAGGGAGAAGCCAGATGTTGTATCAAGAGACCTGTGATTTAGGAATTACTCAGAGGATCTGTCTGTGGTCTGAGCATTAAAATCTGTTTCCTAGATTGCTCTGGTCTGGTGCAATTTATTTTCTATGAACCTTGACTCTTATGAGTGTGGATTTCAGGTTATGCCCAGACTGCCAGCCCTTTCTATGTGTCATAGTAACTGCAGCACAGAGCTGTCCCTGGGGATTAATAACTCTTTGGTGGATGGCTCAATGTAGTAACACCAAGGGCATCATTAAAACTCTCCAGAAGAATTACTTCAATGCCTGTAACATATAATTATGCTTTAGAAACGCACTGCGGTGTTTCTTATTGTTACACAGTATATTTTTCAAACTAAACCTAAGAAACTCTGTTAAATGAGCATTTATTTTTCATTAAGAACATGCGGTGTGAAGTTCATTTGAATTGATTGTACTATAGCTGCTCTATATTTGATAATGGGACTTTCAAAATAAGAAGTTCTGCTTTTTTATTTTGGACATGATTAGTATATTTTTTGCCATGTTGTAGAAAAAAAAACTATTCAGCATGGGTTCGGAAATCCATACTTCCATGCACATACTTGTCCTGATCTGTCCTAGATCCAGTCTGTACTGTTGAGGTTTCATTTGAATATCACCTAGCTGTATCCTAATTCTGCTGGCTGCTCCATGCCCCATGGACCTGGCTGATAGCACAGTCAGAAGCTAGTTGTCTAATAGTTGTCTTAACTTTGCTCTTGTTGTCCAAGGAGTTGTTAAAGGTTGGAAAGATAAAGCTATCATTGAAAGACTCAGTTTTGTTTCTGAATACTTCCCTATTTTCAGTGAGGGCCCAATTAGCCACTATTGATGTATAAAATAAACATGAGAGAAGTTATTCCAGTCTTCTGTCAATGCACTGGCAAAACATTTTTCCAGTCTGTCTTTCAAGACCAAAGGAATCCCATAAGGGAGCAAACCGTGCTTGAACATCTGTATTTAATCTTTAATCTCAGGACCTAAACTTCTGGCAATTAAATATCACTGGCATACTGCTGTTTGTTAGTCTGATTCCAATAAAAAAAAATTTACTTGGAAAATTTTCCCACCCAATTAGATTGCTGATGTAGGGAGGAAATCAAATTGGTAATAAGCTAAGTCAAGAGCATACTATAGTTGTTAAACACGGAAAGCAGCAGTGTCTAAAGAAACCAGCTCAAATGAGGTATTTTACTAACTAAAGATACAGGGGCTAGTTTATAGGACCTGTCAATGCATATCATCACCTGGACTGGTGGAGATTCTGGCAGTGGTGCCCATGGACACCCGAGAACTCTGTGGGTGCTGGCCCTGGGCAGACTCACAGCCAGTATCAGTATCAGCTCTGACAAGAACTGCCAAGGCTCAGTATATGACTAGTATAGACTAATCAACATGGGCGTTTGCTCTAATGGTTGTGAGGTTTACACACGGGGCACATGTTTGGGCTGATAGTCAGTATAAACAGGGTGATACCAAGATATTGAGGTAGAAAATGCAAGAACTACTCCATTTTTGGACCAGATCATTGCTGTACTATGATCAAAATCAGAGTCCTTTCTTGTGCTTGATAAGAAGGTACACCATCGGTTAGGTATGTGAAGGAATATGTGCCCTTGAACTGCTTAAGATATCAAGTGATTTTGTGAGTACAGATCTCACATAAGCACAGTTGCTGGACTTTTAAGACTAGACATGTAAGTGTTGGGAGCGTGTGTTGGTGTTGGGGAATGAGGGGGGGGTGTTCTGGTTTTAATTCTAAAAATGTACATCTAAAATAGCTCTACTGAGTGCGTGCAGTTGCCATGGGGTTTATAGTGGTGTCGCAAAGAAGAGACTCTTTTCATATGTGCTGGTGTTTGCAGTGCCAGATGAAAGCATGGGCATGAATGTTATGTGCCATTTTGTGCAGCATTCAGAGAGCATTTAAACAAAGTTTTTCAATAAAAACTAAGGTGTAACCCTGCTTACTGTCTTGCTTTTTTGGGTATTTTCAGCTCTCGGGTTATTTTATCAAGTTTTCTGTATATTGCATAAGCTTTTGAGATGATGAATTCTTCAGTATTGGGGAATAGGTGATACTCTGTGCACTTGAAGTTCAAACTGCATATTTGGTTTTATGATAAAGATTGCAAAATACACGTATAAGATGCACATGGAAGCTCTGAGCATGAGAGGAAAAGTGAATGTGTAAAATAAGTCAATATTAGATCTAATGAAATTCACATTTTTCTTTTTCTTGGATAGTGCATTATGTAATCTGATCTGGTGTGATTCTCATTGCAGAGGAAGAGGGGAAGACAATTCCAGGAAGTAAAGTGGACTCCCTAAGAAAAACATTTTCTACTTCTGAATTATCCAACAGAAATAAACAGGATGGCTCACCTGGAAGAAGCAAAGAAACGTGGGTGTCTCTTCCACCACAGATGCCAAATGAGAATGAGGTAATGAGTTAACATTTGTCCATGTGGACAAGCACCACATTCAAACAGTTGAAAATACAGGGAGATATACTGTCCAAATATTAGAGGCTAATGGTATTTATCCCATCCAAGGCAAATATTTAAAGTACTACCTAAGTGTGTAATGCTTACAGAGGCACCTGCAGGGATCATGTTTGGCAGTGGCATTTGCTCTACTGAAGAGCTGCCATAATCTGACTAATAAATAAGGCACCCTTCAAGGACCTTAGTAATGCTTTCACTGAAGACTGCAGTTAACAGTAGAGGGTGGCAAAAAGGAAAAAGTCTTGTGAGTATGGGTGCCAGCGTGCACAGATTAATTTTGCTTCTTTAGGATTTCAGCAAGTACTGAATTCTGTGTTACCGAAGCTAGATTGCTTCAGCTACCTAAAGTAAACAACAGACATCATCTGGAGAGAGTGAGATGGAAATCAGAGTCCACTTGTTAAGAAATTCTGCCCTCCTGCCTGAATAACAAATAACTAAGCTGTGATCTAGCCTGTACTCAAAAATTCCCTTCATTAAACTTTTTATTAAAAAAGAAGTAGCAGGTGCAATATACAGAGCAACACACTTAAGTACCTTCAAATGATGGGCCTGCCGGGCCTCAGTCAAAGAGCACAAGCTGTCATTTTCCTCCCTACTAGCACATGCCTTTGAGGTGGAATCAAGCAAGGCTTTTAAAACAATCACATTCTGTCAGTTGATTGTATAATAAAATGACAGAATCTTTTTGCCATTTTTCTCATGAAGAATATGATTGCCTCATTGGGATAGACTGCCTTTGGGTGTCTGTCTTTGAATTGGCTTTCTGCCCCATAAAGCAATGTGCAACTTCCATTATCCTTTATTTAATGTAACATCTTAATACTTGTCTTTGTTGCTACAGAAAAAAGTTTCAGGCATGGCTGCACATTTTTGTCACATTAGCAGTTTAAGAAACAAATACAGTAATAGTAGAATGCATCAGAAAAATTGCTAGTGTTGTAGCAGGAGGAGGCTGTAATGCAGTAAGCTGGCCACTGTAACCTCTAAGCTTGCCCTGTGGAAAGGAAAGAAGGAAAAAACTGCTATTGAAAACAACGCTTCTGTTCTAAATGCTGCTTTTTAGGCATGTTATGATTACTTGCACTGTTGTTCCAATTGATTCAGTCTGGTCCTGTGTAGGACTTCAGAGGATTACCTGCATACGTTCTATTTTCAGGAGCATTGCATTCAATTTTTTTAAAATTTTAAATACACCATAAAGGATCTGTATGTGTAAACCAGTAGGAGCTTTGACTGTGATTTTGGTTCTGTTTCATGCATGTAAGTATTTCTGCCTATCTATCTACAGACAGTGATGAATGAGAGCTGGAAAGCTGGTGGCTCTGATGGAAATTATCTCAGTCTGTCTGAAAGAGTGAAGGTGGGATTTTCTTTGATTTTCTTCAAAGTGGGGATTATGAGTAGAACATGACTGATTTTCGCTTTATTCATTTACAAAGTACTTGCAATTTGTTGATGTATTTCTTTCCCATCTGTGGGAAAGAAGGATGAGAGCATCACCATCCAAATTTTTTTTCAAATGTTAATGAGTATGTACTTTTAAAGTGTAAAGGTTATGTAAGTGTTGATGAGAATGGTGTCAAATCAGGTTGGAAAAAATTATCTAAGAGGATCTCTAATTACTGCATGGAAGACTATCCAGTGCATATAGTAAATCCTCCATGGTAACGCTATTTGCACATAGGTTGGGAAAGGCTTTACCCTCTCATCCTATGCATCTATTCAGAGTGCTACCTGAAACAAGCAACGTCTTTTCTTGTGGTATGTTTTAGATAGTTTAGACCGTTTTGAAGGGACATCAGCCTGAAAAAACAGTAGTGCAATGTCCCAGATGAAATACTAAAAATGTAATAATTCTTAGCTTTTTTATTTCCCATTCAGTTCACTATTAGTATCAAAACAGAAGGATTAAGCTCTATTTTGCCTACAGTGTGTATTGTCTGTGTGCCATATGCAGTGAGCTTGCAAAACTGCAGAGTAACATATCATGTATCTTTTTTCTATGAAAATATTTTACTTCTCCATCTTCCCACTAAGTTCCTGAAAAAGTTGCTGTACAGCTTGAGCTTCTTTCCCATCACTGTAGTTGATATGCAGCAATTTTGGCAGCAATTCTTTGCCTATACTTTAAAGAATTTCCTTTGGGTTACACATTTCAAAGAAAATTCTTATGCTTTCTTGGAAAGATGAAGGGGAGAATGAGGAAGATGAAGCAGGCAATGTAATGCTTTTTTGCTTCGCTCTATATTGTACTATAAGAAATGAAATTAATACATTTCAATCTACTTTCCAATTTGGGTTTCTTACGGCAGGTGGACAAGTACTTAGATTTGGAAGATATAGACACAGATGAAGAGACATGCAATGGTAGGTTCCCCCCGCCTTCATATTCACTATCATTGTCTGTCTTTGGATGCAAGTGTATGGACATTGTTTAAAGCACTGTTTCTCCTTTAAAAAATATGTTCTTCCTCAGTTCTTCTGTTGCTACAATATTCCCCAAATTGCCCAAATTCCCCAAATTAAAGTACTCATTTCCTCACTCTAAGAGGTAATGAGATAATAAATTATAAGGAATATTTATTACACTGTGTCCTGGTGAGCAGGTTTTTTTTTTCCAGATTTTTCACAATTACAGAACACTTCTTGTTAGCAACGTTTCTACATTTTTCTGCACTTCTATTTTGTATTGAAAGTGTGCTGATTACCAAAGTTTCTCCTCAAAGGAACGCAGGTGCTAAGAGAGAGTTCTATAAAGTGGAAATATTTAATGAAAATGTTTTCCCTACCTATTAAAATGATTTCATCCTGGGCTTAAAATAGATGAGACTAATCTTGAATTCACAGTGAAATTCTTTAAGAATTCCAATTATGAGCATTTTGAGTTGTGTTGAGCTGTTCATACTTCTGTAATAATTTTAACTCTCCCACCTCTAAAAAGTAAATAGAAACCTAGTGTCCATAGTTATTTGTCTATCATAGGTGCTTGTGTGGTCTTTATTACCACCAGAATTGACGACCTTTTAGTAATTAAATATATTTTCCTCATCTATACCTGTGACTACACAAAGAAACCAAGCCACACAGATTAAGGGATTTGCCTAAGGTCACTGAAAGAAGCTGTTACAGAGCAGGACTTTGGTCCTCAGTACCTTGGTTATTGCCATTTGATTAGTTTGTCTAATCCGTTAAAGATTTGATTAGTCTTTCCTTTTTGTATGTGCAGAATTCCTATGAAGTCAGAGGGCTTAGAGACTTCCAGTTGAATATTTGGAGCTTGGCTGTAACTCACAAGAAAATAATCATAAAATCATTAAGGTTGGAAAAGACCCTTAAGATCATCAAGTCGAACCGTCAACCCAACACCACCATGCCCACTAAACCATGTCCCTAAGCGCCTCATCTACATGTCTTTTAAATACTTCCAAGGATGGTGACTCAACCACTTCCCTGGGCAGCCTGTTCCAATGTTTAACCACTCGTTCAGTAAAGAAATTTTTCCTCATGTCCAATCTAAACCTCCCCTGGCGCAACTTGAGGCCATTTCCTCTCGTCCTATCGCCTGTTACTTGGGAGAAGAGACCGACACCCACCTCGCTACAACCTCCTTTCAGGTAGTTGTAGAGAGCGATGAGGTCTCCCCTCAGCCTCCTTTTCTCCAGACTAAACAACCCCATTTCCCTCAGCCGTTGCTCATAAGACTTGTGCTCCAGAACCCTCACCAGCCTCGTTGCCCTTCTCTGGACACGTTCCAACATCTCAACATCCTTCTTGTAGTGAAGGGCCCAAAACTAAACACAAGATTCGAGGTGCGGCCTCACCAGTGCCGAGTACAGGGG